CAGAGTGGGAGAATCTTGATCGGACGTGTTCGGTCAGTGCTGACCGGACGCTGGTCAGGTTCCGGCTACTGACCAGACGCTGAGCAGCAAAGTGACCGGACGCTGGGTTCTAGAGTCCGGTCAACATCAGTAAGGTTCCAGAAGGTAGTTTTCGTGACCGGACGCGTCCGGTTAGTGCTGACCGGCCGCTGGCCAGTGTCTGGTCACAACTTAACTGCTTGGTGGCGGGGAGAACTGACCGCAGCATCCGGTCACCCCGCAGTGGCACATAACGGTTCGTTTTGAATGAGGGTGTATAAATACTTCCTCTATTCACTTGAGGGATTACTTTTGCTCATTCCAACAGCTGAGAAACACCCTTGAGAGTGCTAAGAAGAGTAAGGTCCTAGTGAGGTGATTGAGATTTGAGAATCCAAGAGAGAGACCTCATTAGTGAAAGCAATAGTAGCAAAGTGTGCATCCACCCTTCTCATTAGGCTTGTCGTAGTCAAGTGAGAGTTCGTGCTTGTTACTCTTGGTGATCACCATCACCTAGACGGCTTGGTGGTGATTGGGAGCTTGGTGATCATCCGACATAGCTTGTGGATGACCCAACTCAAGTTGTGAGCGATTGTGGGTGATTCACTGTGACGGAGTGTCAAAGAATCAACCCGTAGAGAGCACTTGATCCTTGCGTGGATCAAGGAGGAGCTACACCCTTGCGCGGGTGCTCCAACGAGGACTAGTGGGGAGTGGCGACTATCCGATACCTCAGCAAAACATCGCCGCGTTCCTCCTTCTCTCTTTACTTTGAGCATTTACTTTGAGTAATTCAATTCTTGTCTTTACATTCATTGAATTTTCATGATAGAGTAGGATTGGAACATAGGTTGCTAACTTTTGTGCGGTAGAACAATAGAAACACTTTATAGGTACAAGGGGTAAAGTGGGCTAACCATAGGGTTTAATTATTGCAAAGAATTTTAGAATTAGCCCAATTCACCCCCCCCCCCTCTTGCGCATGTTGATCCTTGCATAAGTGTTTCAGAGGTATATTGCAAATGTTTCAGGGATATGTGGTAAGCATCTATTCAAAATGTTTTATCTATTTCAGATATATGTTACAAGTGTTTTATCTAGATGTTGCATATGTTTCAGTGGCTATACACATATGTTGCAAGTATTTTATTTGGATATTGCATATGTTGCAGCGGCTATACACATATGTTGCTAGCGTATGTTACAAATGTTTAACCTGTTTTAGACGTATGTTGCAGAAGTGCTTCGTGTTGCAACATTAGCAGGCGCATGAAGCGGACGCATGTGGAGGCGGTCCCCTCGTGCTGCTGCGTGAAGTTTAAACAGCATGGGTCGTCCCCTACGCATGCGCAAAGAACAGCATGGGCGACTGACAAGATGCGAGACGACAAAACAACATGTGGCGTGTGCAGTGCTCAAGAACATCAAGGCGAGGTGCAAAAGATGCGGGCAAAGCTAAGCAACATGCGAGGCGGGCGCAAGGCAGGCGCGGGCATCTGGACGTCCGGGCTCTAGCCATACCTTTATTTTTATGTCATGTGCCCACCCAAAGTGTGGGGAAGAAGAGTAGGGGAGATGGGGACCTGATTTTGGCCGGTGTGGATGGGGGAGGCGTTGGCTGACGAGCAGAGTTGAGCTCAGCAATGGTGGGGGGAGTGCATGCATGGGCTAAAGAGAGCAGTGGCTTCCATGCGGGGATGAGAGGTTCTTTTGGCATTTTTGGATTTGAATTTACTCGCGTGCATGAGAGGGTCTTTTGGCATTTTAGGGTTTGAATTTACTCCTTGTCTAATCCTTATTTATTATCACACTCAAATATAAGGACTTTCTTGGTTTTTTTTTAATTACAGTACAACATAGACGTTTCCACGCTCACCTTTATGAAACCACACACATACTACCTATGTGAGCTCTTTTAAAACATTGAGGCGAGTAAAAAGAATAGTGCGGTTAAATCATAGAATAATTATAGAAAAATATGAATACCTACATCATGTGGAGGACTTAAACTAGAAGGGAGCCATAAGGTATATATATAACCGGCTGGGCTATGCTATACTTAGTTCATGATCTCTGAGAGTTTTGTTTTGCCCAAAAATATAAGTTACCAATTCACCTCCTGACATGTGGTTGTAATTCCACATCTGGATCTGGCCTTGTAGTAATAAAAGCACTGGTTAGCTTATATCCGCCCTATATGAGTGTGTAGGTTCAGGAGCGAACGACGCTGCTTGCATTGCCCGGTAGAGGACGAAATGAAATTTTATTGGCGGTGCTCATTCGTGGTGGAGTCATGCACTCATGCATGGCTACTTTTCTGATAGATTTTTACCACTTGCTTTTTTCAGAGCCCTGAAGACTACTTGATCGTTTGTGACTCCTCTGCTAAACAAACTGTTGCTGCCTTGCTGGTGTTCACTTGTATGTAATCTTGTGATGTGCCTTGCCCATAGACTAGACAGAATGGGCTGGGATGACCGCAACCGAGAAAGCTTTGGGCCCATTGCACCACCAGTAGTCTGTCTGCTCAGCCCTGATAGATCTGAATGGCCCAGACAGCTGCAGTGTGCACCAAAGGCCGCGAGCGAGCGTGTGGGTAAGCCCATAGGCCCAATCAGCCCATGCTGCAGCAGTCACCTGACTGTTTCTGAATCCTGTTACTACTTCCAAATCAGCATCTCTCCTTCGTTTCCATGTCGTTGGCATCGTTGCCTCACTTTATTAGCAAACAAAGAGACGAGAGCATTTTAGCCATTGCATGGGCAATTGGCGGCACTGGGCAGTGGCCATGGGCCAAGGGCCATGGCGCCATCTGCCAAGGTTCAAAACAAGGCTTGCAAAATCTCGTGTTTTTCTTTCACGACACATCAGCATAAGCCAAATTTTAGCGAAACGCGTCTCTTTGTTTGCTACTGTCTCCGAAATCTCAAATTAGGCCCACGCAGGTGCAGGTGCAGCCCGCCAACGCCAGGCCTCGGCTGCCGCTGTCCGACGTCACCGCTTTTCTTCCGATCCTGGCCCAGTGGACGGCGACCGCGGCAGTGGAACCCGTCCATCATGCGTAGCCCTGGGCATTCGGTATTACCGAACCAATTCCTCGGTTCTTGATGCCTTGATTTACAGGACATCGGTACCAATCGGTTCTTCCGAAGAATCGGTACCGACCGAATTCGGTTTTGGTTAGTTCGGTTGTTCCGACCAAACTAACGAACCAAGCGCATGATCTTGCGCGAGGACTCTGCGAGTCATGAGCGACGAGCACAACGCAAAGAGGGCAGGCGACAGCCCACGTAGGAGAGAGAGGCGTCTTGGGCCGCCGGACGCCAGGTGGGGATGCGATCACCAGGGAGAGGGAGGGCTTGGGAGATCTAGGGGAGGGGCGGTGGGGAGAGGGATGGGAGGTAGGCGGTGCGGCCGGGAAGAAGGAGGTAGGCGGCGACGGCGCCGAGAGAGGAAGAGAGGGGGCGGCGTGGGGAGACCTAGGGATGACCGGGGAGAAGGAGTCGGGGCCTCGGGGGCGGCGGGGAGAGGAGCCGGAGAGGGATGGGAGGGGGCGCTGGGGCGGCGCTGGCCGGGAGGGAGGGAGCGGCACCGGCCGGGAGGGAGGGAGCAATGAGGGTGAGGAGCCGGGACGGGATGCGGCGCAGGTGGGGTGGAGAACTGGACGGGAACGGGAGGCGGCTCGGGGAACTCTCAAGGAGAAGCAGACGAGGCTCGGTTCCTCGCTTTTTTCGGTTAACCGAGGGGAGGAACCGAATTAACCGAACAAAGTTTGGTTCCTCTGAAATGAGAGAACGAACAGGGAACCGAGATTTCGGTTCTCGGTAAATTCGGTTCGGTTCTCGGTTCTCGGTAAAATTTGCCCAGGGCTAATCGTGCGCACGAGGCGGCCGACCGGCCTCGTGTCGCGGCGCATGTAGCACCACCACCAAGCCTTGAGCCAGCCAGACGAATTGTCCCGGGTTCCTCTCATCCTCCGGCGACCGACGTGAAGTGGACATGCACGGCTCGCGGGGCAATGCGCTGTGGCATGCTCTCTGGTCTGAGGAGACAACATGTCTCCACGGAAAGGCCACCGTGGTCACGGGCTCTCTGTCCTCCTCATCGCCAACGCCATTGCGGCATTGCTGGTTGCCCGCACTGACCAGTGTGAACTCAGGAACACCCACCATCCGTGTTCCGGCCCGTGACATCTGACTCTGATCCTATCTGGAACTAGCTCAGGACATCTCCCACAACTTGTGCAGTGGACTCCGCTGCGCGCACGACGTCGTGCCCGGCGTTCCGGAGACCGGAGGGCGGCCGGCGGCGCACACAGCCTCGAGCCAAGCAGACGATCGAACGCCTGCATTCCCTCGCGTCCACCAACGGAACCAACCGTCCCGAGCTCGCCCTCGCCTTGCCTCGCCCAGGCCGCACCTGCCGACTGGCCTTCGCGGAGACGGATCGCGGCGCGCTGCCCGCGCCGACGCGCTACGGGGACAGGCAATGCGAGCACGACTGCGCGATTGCTGGCAATGATTGGGGCCTTCTTTGCGGTAGTGTCCTCGCATGTGCGACAGAGGAGCAGGGGTCAGGGGTGAGTGGAGCCCCCAGGCACCCACCAAACGCCGGCGGCCGTGCCGTGCCGTCCATCTTTGACCACCTGACCTCCGCCGCCACCGCTGCCATTCCCGTGCCTCTAGTTCTCCATCTTGTTTCGCATCAATCACGAGTTAAGTTCATGATGGCTAATGAGAATCCAGAAGAATCACATGTACTACTAGTATGCAATCCTTTCTGCTGTGTTGCTGCTAATCCCTACTGAAAATCTGAAATATTTACAAAACCTACGAACCTAAACCAAAACCTTGGAACAAAAGGGTCCATTGTGTTCTAATAAGTACACGCACAAAGAAACATGATGACCAAAGTTACAGCAGGCAAGAAGGAAAAAAATAAAAAATGCATGCGAGCCTAAAACTGTGGCCGTGCGTGCGCGGTCACTGCCGCCCGAAGAGCGCCCCGAGGAAGCCGAGGCAGCCGAGGAAGAGGCGGCAGAGCGGGCCGCCGCGCCTCCGCTGCAGCATCCGCCTCCGGGCCTCCTCCCGCGCCGACGGCGTCAGCTGGAGGTACGCGTACGCCGCGTGCTTCACCAGCGGGTGCCGGATCATGTGCACGTCCCCGGCCACCGCGGCGCCGGCGCCGGCGGGTGCCTCGTCTGGGGAGTTCGCCTTGGCGGCGGGCGACGACATGATGTCGCGCAGGCTGGTGTACCCGCGCCCGCCGCCGCCGCTGCCGGCGGCGGCGTTCAGGCCGTTGGTGGGGATCTCGATCTCAGGCGGCGCCCACCGGCCTCGCATCCCGCCGCCGGACCCGGAGGCGCGCTTCGCGGGGCGCCGGAGCAGGACCTCCAAGTCCCCGGCGGCGCCGGCGGCGGTGCTGCCGGCGCCGGCGCCGGCCAGCGGCGACCGGAGCCTCTGCCTCTGCCGTTGCCGCAGCGGGGACTCCACCACCGCCGTTACCATGGCGCGATCAGGGCGGCGGGATCGGACCGGAGGCGCGCGCGTGGAGCCGTGGAGGAGCTGGACGTGGTGGAGAAGCGAAGACTCGTTATTGGAGAGGGAGAAAGAGTCCATGATCATGAATGAAAGATCTATTAATTAATGAATGAATGAATATAAACGTGTAGTTTGAATGATGCGAAATATTCGCTGGGGGGCCACGCGGCAGTGGGCGGAGGCGATTTTTCGGAGAAGAAAAAATAGAGCGAAACCCGGGTGGGGTGGATGACGGGAACCGGAGTTTTTTTTTCCGACGGGGCGCTCGAGGTGGCGCTGTTCGTTTGACCGGTTTGCCTTGTAAAATGGTTAGGGATGAAAACGGATCGGATACGAACGGATATCACTCATATTATATTTGTTTTTATATTTCTGTTCGGATTCGGATTCGGACACGGATAGCGTTCGGATACATATCTGAATACGGATTGACTTCGATTTACGGATACGAATAATGAGTATCGAATACGGTATGAATCGGATTCGGAGAAGGTCGGATACAAATATCTATTCGGATATTGAGTAAAAGCAAAGCATATATATATATCATACGCATGCATAAACCATTACACCACTCTATGAGTCCATAATCCATCTAGATTAAGCCGAAAGACTAAAGAGTAAAAGCAACAAATAAGATAAAGATACATATACATCATACATCAAACATCATATAAGCACCAATCTTCGCGGCATGAGTAGAAATAGCCAAGCACATTGCTTCATGGGTCTCATGGAGTCATGGTCATGGATTCAAGATCTACAATCCTTATATAGGCCATTTTTTCATTTTGAGAAAGTTTGAACAAAATGTAGTTCAAATTTCACAAGTGTGTGACATAGTTTTATAAAGTCTGTATGAGATTTAAGAATTTGTGACTAGTGTTTGATAAAACTTTCTCAAATGGGAAAATGAGCTATGTAACAATTGTATATCTTGCTGAGATGATCAAACTTGGTATTCAGAGTTTTTTCATCTGAGGTCATTTAGTGTCTCATTTGAGCAAGTTTGACCAAGTCAAATTTGGTCAAATGAAAAAACAACACTTTGACTCTAGTATTATGAACTCTAAATGACTTCAAATTGAAAAGTTTTGAATACCAAGTTTGTTCAACTCATCAAGATCTACAATTCTTGTTTTGGTCAACTTTCCATTTGAGATAGTTTGGACAGTTCAAATTTGTGATTTTTAAATTTTGATGCTTACAAACTAGTTTTCGGAACCCTAGATTGTCTCAAATTGAAAAGTTTTGAATACCAAGTTTGTTCAGCTCATCAAGATCTACAATCCTTATATAGGCTATTTTTTCATTTGAGAAAGTTTGAACAAAATGTAGTTCAAATTTCATAAGTGTGTGACATAGTTTCAGAAAGTCTATATGAGATTCAAGAATTTGTGACTAGTGTTTGATAAAACTTTCTCAAATGGGAAAATGAGCTATGTAACAATTGTATATCTTGCTGAGATGATCAAACTTGGTATTCAGAATTTTTTCATCTGAGGTCATTTAGTGTATCATTTGAGCAAGTTTGACCAAGTCAAATTTGGTCAAATGAAAAAACAACACTTTCACTCTAGTATTATGAACTCTAAATGACTTAAAATTGAAAAGTTTTGAATACCAAGTTTGTTCAACTCATCAAGATCTACAATTTTTGTTTTGGTCAACTTTCCATTTGAGATAGTTTGGACGGTTCAAATTTGTGATTTTTAAATTTCAACGTTTACAAACTAGTTTTCAGAACCCTATATTGTCTCAAATTGAAAAGTTTTGAATACCAAATTTGTTCATCTCATCAAGATATACAATCCTTATATAGGCCATTTTTTCATTTGAGAAAGTTTGAACAAAATATAGTTCAAATTTCACAAGTGTGTGACATAGTTTCAGAAAGTCTATATGAGATTCAAGAATTTATGACTAGTGTTTGATAAAACTTTCTCAAATGAGAAAATGAGCTATGTAATAATTGTAGATCTTGCTGAGATGATCAAACTTGGTATTCAGAGTTTTTTCATCTGAGGTCATTTAGTGTCTCATTTGAGCAAGTTTGACCAAGTCAAATTTGGTCAAATGAAAAAACAACACTTTGACTCTAGTATTATGAACTCTAAATGACTTCAAATTGAAAAGTTTTGAATACCAAGTTTGTTCAACTCATCAAGATCTACAATTCTTGTTTTAGTCAACTTTCCATTTGAGATAGTTTGGATGGTTCAAATTTGTGATTTTTAAATTTTGAATAAATATCCGGATAATATCCGTTTTTAAATATCCGGATATATCCGATACTTATCCGGATTATCCGATATCCGCCGGATATCGATGATATTACATCCGTATTTGATATCCGCCTAAGATATCCGTTTTAGTATCCGTATCCGAAAAAAAAACCGGATATCCGAGTAACTATCCAGATAAGTGTTCATATTTGTTCGGTCGAACGGACGGTCGAATAAATATCCGTACCGTTTTCATCCATAAAAATGGTTGAAAGTATCGTTGGCTAGTTTAGTGATAAAGAAAAATATTATTCATTGGCTGATAAGTCATGGCTTATAAGTCAAATGCGACTAAGCGAACAGACTGGTGAGCGACGCTGTTGGGTGGTGGGACCGCAGTAATTGTTGGGTCCACTGTCCACGTCATCCTGGTCTCGGCCGTGGATTTAGCTACTCCCTCCGTCTAAAAAAACATGTAATTCTAGTTTTTAAATCTTGTCTCGAAAATATGTAATTGTAAGTTAAAGATCACCTTTTTCAATGGAACCCACTGATTAAAAATATCCTTGCATGACTAAAAACTACCATCCATAAGAAGAATATTCCATGAGAAGAACCTTCCAGGATAACCACTTCTAGAATGACAGAGGAGGAGTAAATGCATAATTTTACACCTACACTAATTTTATCTTGAAAAACGAGATTTATATCATCTCTGGGACGTATGAAGTATCACTACTAGATAACAGACTTTAGAACGATGTCCTAATTTGGTATTAGCCTCGGCATTTTTTTGCCTCCGGGACTAAAGGTTCCTGCCCAACGGTCGTTCGCGGGGCAGGGATCTTTAGTCCCGGCTGGTATTACCAACCGGGACTAAAGGTAAACCTTTAGTCCCGGTTTGGGTGATGCCTCGGGAATAAAGATTAATCTTTAGTCCCGGTTTGACTCCCTAACCGGGACTAATTATCCCAGCCTATAGACCAGCTCATTTCTTCCTCTCCGAGCCCGAGCCATTCCATTCAAACTCACTGTCTCTGTTCTTCAGCTTGCTGTTGTTCTTGCTCTCTCCCCCTCCATTGGTGTTGCTCTTCGATTTTGGAGGTAACAAATTTAATCCTCTTATGTTTTATCAATAGCTTATCTCATTTTGCGATGTAGATGCATGTGTAACTTTATATGTTGGACTTTATTATGATTTTATGTCATTTTTATCTCAAAATCACACGATGATTTGCATATATGTTTGGATAAACAAAAGTTAAATTTGGCCTGGAAGTTGATACCTGGAAGACTTATAAATTTGGCAAAAGTCTGTACAACCCTGCGGCTCTGAATGAATTGGGTACGCAAATGTACTTGCTCAACAAGTGGTACATGCAGGCGTGTGGCAGGGGTGAGGAGTGGATCTTTGTCAGATTTAGAGACCATGGCGATGACATCTTACATATTAGTTTCGAAGAATTGCATCAACTATACCTCATGGACACTCTGGACAAATCAATCATTAACTCCTTTTGTTTGTAAGTGATTCTTACTTTTATTTAATAAACTCACTTCCATGCGTATGTGTATATAATTATCCTCACATGTAACTTATATTTATATACAGATTCCAGATGTCAGAGCTCCAAAGAATACAAGACACCAGTGTTGGTTTCATTGATCCTTATATCGTATTCAAAACCGGTATTATTGCCAAAGAGCGGTGGGTATCTGAAGCACAGAAGAATATCATGAGGTTCTTCATGAAGCAGCACGACAAGACAGCAATACTTTTCCGGTACAGCTTTGAGTAAGTGTTAATAATAATGTAGTCTACACATTTTATGTAATATCAATACAACTTATATGCATGTACGTGTGTGTATAAACCAATGCAGGTTTCACTGGATACTCATTGTCATTGAGTTAAACTCAAGTCGGTTAGTAATCTTGGACTCGTTGAGAAAAGAGCGGGCACTATACCAAGATATGATAGACATTATCCAGGGGTAATTTCGATCTCTCGCGCACAACTATTATTGAATAGACTTTGCCATAATTTATTAACGATCGTACATTATTGGTCGCACAGGGTTTGGAAAGAGTTTATTTGGCAACACCGCAAGGATTGCAAGGCACCACTTAATGTAGTTGAAATATCAGTAAGTTGTACTATATATACTTCCCCACGTGTTTAATTACTATATCGTACTTCAATTTACGTGTGAGATGATGAGAATAATCTTCTTCTCGTACAGTGGTGTTTGCGGCAGGAACCAGGTAATAACTTGTGTGGATCCTACGTTTGTGAATTTATCACTGCGCACATAAGAAGAACTCCTAGAGATGTCCTCAAAGTACGTATATATCAATTTTTATTTATTTTTAAATGAATATATATATGTATTAATACTTTTCCTTTTATTTCAAATGCAAGACTGAATGGTTGAAACAAAGGGTCATACAAAAAGACCATCTAAAAGCAGTTCAAGAGTCAATAGCAGGATTTCTTCTAGAAAAAGTGCTAAATCCCAACGGCGAGTTTTACTTTGATCATAAGGAATAAATGATGTAAATTAAATGTTTATTGATATCGTTATTTTTGAGAACAAGATTATGAAAGTGTTGTATATATACATATATATTCATAATATATATAGTTTCATACTTTATTCGAATATAATAATGCTCGAGACGAGAATTAGATGTAATTATATGCGTGCATGTATTTATATTAGCAGCGTAAAATACGTACAT